GTGTGGGCTCGGGCGTATACGGTGTCCGCCCGGACACGCGTGTATATGCAACCCTTGACCCGTATTGCACAGTGTTCCAGGCCGAAATACATGCAATAGAGATCTGTCTGAGAATCAATTTGGAAAGGGGGTATAGAAACCGCACCATATATGTGTTCTCAGACAGCAGGGCTGCACTGCTGGCGCTCCGTTCAGCTCAGGTTACATCCAAGCTGGTCTGGAGCTGCCTTGCTGCACTTATGGAATTGGCATCGGAAAACAGAGTGATGCTCATTTGGGTGCCGGGCCATAGTGGCCATGCGGGCAACGAAGTTGCCGATGAGTTGGCGCGGAGGGGATCTGGGGCTGCCTTTGTGCAGCCGCTGCCTTTCTGTGGTCTGCCTTCTTCCGCCGTGGGGGCCAGGCTTGCCTGCCTACTCGCGGCGGAATGCAGTCGTCACTGGCGGGACACGAAAGGGTGCCGTCATGCGAAGGTGTTTGTTCTGGCGTGCTCCGGCGGATTCGCTGCGGAGTTGCTGGGGATGAGCAGGAGCCGGATTCGCACTATTGCGAATTTCTTCACGGGGCACTGCCCGGTGAAATACCACCTGCACAGGCTGGGGAAGTCGGGTTCCCCACTGTGCAGATTTTGTGAGGGTGGCGATGAGACCGCCGTGCACATTCTCTGCGACTGTCCGGCACTGGCTGTTCGGCGCCGCAATTGTCTTGGACATGGGTCCCTAAGTGTTCGGGAACTATTGTCCAACTCCCTTAGGGATATCTCCGGCTTTGTGATTGGGACGGGGATATTATAGACGGGAGAGTGGGGTGGCTACAATAAGTCAAAAATGGCTGCGGTGGTTTGGGGGGATGCTCCTGTCCCACTCAGTTCTCTAGAATCTACAATCTACAATCTACATTAGAGTGGGGCAGTTTGTGTTATTAGGTACACTTTCCGAAAAATTATTCCATTATTATTGAGACGTATTTCATTACTAGCCTGGGTAGTAATGTTTTATAATGTCAATTTCTGCAAAATTTTTTTAGAATTATAAATTATGAAAGCCTTTCTTTTAGGGTGTGTAGTACAATGTATAAAAGTATGTTCTAATTTTCTATAAGAGATGGATCTAGATTCTAAAGAGAGAGAGAGAGAGAGAGAGTTCCAAAACTTTTTGTTGTATTTTTTCTTTCATTTTTTCTCATTAATATCTTCTTCTTATTGTTGTTATTTCTCATTTCATATTCTTTTACTTTGATATCTTTTTATATCTTTTATTGAATTTTCATCAATAGAAATTGACAAGGAATAATTCTCTTTTTTTTTCTTCGTATAAAAAAATACGAAAAAAAATTACAATAATAAAAAAAATACGAGAGATAATAAAAAATTTCTCGTAATGAGAAAAAAAACGATAATTGATTATTCAATTGGGGCAGTGCGTTTAAATATGTGTGTATAACAAAAACCAAGTGTATTCGTATGTATACGAATATTGTATGTCGTATGTTCGGGTATATCCCATTGTTTTGTTTAATATATCTTTTAAATGATGTCCTTTTTCTTTAATTATTGTTGTTGCTATCACTACTTTATTATTATTATTTCTTTTTATGATCATCGTTGCTATAGTAAAATTAAATTTAAGTTCATACCGGTTAAGTGACTTCTTTTGTTATAATATAATGTACGGAATTGTTATATACTTAATATAATAAAATTTTATAAAAAAAAAATAAAGTACCCAACATACTTGTATATTATTTTGACTTGAAATAATTATCCTTTGAAATTAATATATAAAAGCATTATTATGTTGTAATATAAAGTTCCATATGAAGTGCTTTGTCTAAGGATACAATCTTATTATAAACACACGTACTTACTCAATTATTTTTGAAGTATTGTCTTATATTTTTCAAGAATATAGAATACAAAAGAAATTATATAAAAAATCATATTAAAAATTTAGTTCATTATAGAATATTTAAAATCATAAGTATTAAAAGATCTGAGATTTTTTAACAAAATTAATTCAGCACGTCTATAATTTTTATATTAAATATATTTAAATTTTAAAAGTAGGTGCTGTTGTTAGGCCCTTGATCTAATATCGGTTTTTGTGCAAAAATAGAAAAATTGTTTTTGCATTAAGTCTATTCTTAGTTATAAAATTGGAAAAGCAAGCTATTTTAATCGGGTGAATAAACGTAAAATTGATATTAATAAAAGAAATCATTAAGATTTAACGATATTTGAGTACTTCTGAACAACTAAATGTCTCAACAGTGGTTTAAGAAGTAAAAATGCATTATTATGTGTTTTGATAAGTAATGTACGAAATCGATCTTAATTAATGAAATTTCGTTATTCTAAATTAAAGTTTGAATATCATCAACAATTTGTGTTTGATATTACAAAAAAAGGAACAGTCAGGGTCGGCAAACATGTATTAATTGTTATTATACGTACAAATATGTATATGGGTTAGAGAATACCGCCGGAAAAAATATATTAGTTCTTAACAATACAAGTGGAAGTGTCCTATCGAACCTTAAATCATTCATATTCTCCTTGCCGCTCTGTATAGTCGTTTTTTTTTATTGACCGCATTGCATGCAATAAAGGAGGTTATTGGGTGGCATCTAATTTTGGATGTCGAGTTTTAGGTGGGAACGCACTTTTTCATTATTTGCTCTGTCTGTCTGTTTGTCTGTCGGTCTGTATGTGGACACGTGTATTTCAATTTTAGCTAAACCGGTTTTGAGTTGATTTTATATGTGAGTTTATTTTGGCTATTGAATGAATTAATTAAGTTTTCGGACATATCAGACTGGATTCGAGAACTGTACTTTCTGGCGGGCGATTTTAAATTTTTACAGATATATTTAAAGAGAAATAACCAACTGGAGTTCGTTGGAATTTAGTATTTAAATTTGGGGTGTCGAAACAGTAAAACTGTAAACTTTGTGGAATGATCAGGGCTCGCAAACTGAGCTGGGGGCCGATTTCATATTTTTTACCATATCTACAGAACGGATTATTGGAATTTCTGGAAATTTTCTATTTAAGTTCTGGTTATTATTTAAACTGAACGGTGAACTTTTCAGAAATTTCGGATGGCACAAAACGAAATTGTACTAAGAGCCAAATTTACAATTTTCTAGGTATCTTAACTAGGCAATACAGATAGTGGTCGGTTATGTGCTGACCACAACAGATTTTTTGAATTGCTATAAAATTGTATTTATTTATCGAAGTGGCAAATTGAGTTAAAATTCTTTGGAATAGATTACATCTTAAAATAAAGGGAAAAAAATGAATATACTTAATAAAGTAAGTTTTATTACCCCAAAATACTATAATTATTCATTAAATTTGAACACTTATGCATTGTTTGTTTTACATAATTTCCGAGTACTTACTTGGATTTTTCATTATATGCTTGAGTAATGATTTAAATACGATTTTGTATATATGCGTGTAAACTAATTCATTATCGTAATTTACTGCTTAAATTCTATTTCCTTAAATAATTTCTTAATAACTATATAAGGGGCTTTGAGTACAATTTTTTATGTTGCATATTCTATGACTAAAATTAATGTCCCAACCATTTGAATTCACATAAGTTTTTATAATATATTTATTTAAGAAATAATAACGGCAATTGCACGCATAAGGAAGTGCTTGTGTACAATATTTTCTATATTCATTATACATTCTAACGTATATATTATGATAAATGTACATGTGTAAAATATTTACCATGTATAGTTAAGATAGATTTTCTTAAAAAGAAAAATTATTATATTTCCTGTGGGTAAAATTTACTATACCTATATTTAATACCCTTTTTTAACAGTTAAAATTCTTTTTTTCTTATTAAAATACATTTATATTTACATTATACACAAGTAAGAGCTCAGTTTTTTTCTTAAGTATTCTAGTAATAATGCATTTTTTCTCAAAACGTTCTTACCGCATAAGATTGATTACTTTAAGACAAGAAATTAAATGATTTTTATTTGAGGTTTAACAAACTCATAATGTTATAAATTTTTTTTGATTTTGTATTTATCCCACATGATTGTTATTATACAACTGAATTGAGGAAAATTTTATATTTATTTACTTATACAATATTATGTAAGCAAGTATGTATTAGCTTTGATTCGCCAACGTAAAAAGTTAAAAAAGAATAAAATTCACATGAATTTGCCACCATAAAAAATACTTACTTACCACTGTCTAATGCTATATCAACATAAGAACATAATGATTGTCATCATTTTAGCATTGAAATTACGTTTACTGAAAAATTAGGTGCTCATGTGCATGTGGGTGCTTCAAACATATGGTATGATTATTTGCATGTTGTTTTTTTTTTAATTCTATCTTTTATGCTTGTTTTTGGAATTAGTTCTGTGTTTGATAACCTTGATAATATTGAATATAATTATTCAGACAATTTTGAATTTTAGAAAATTTAAGAAAAGTCCTTCAGTGTTTCTTTCTCGAGGTCGATATTCTTTAAATAATTCATGTAGATAGAATGGATATGATTATTTTCTTCTAGTAGACGATATTCTGGTACCATGGCTTCTTGTTGATTCGCATTGTTATTATAATTAAATATAGGCACAAGTAGGTTTAGTTTGAATTATACTTTCATTCATTCTACTTCCAGATCCATTGCACAAACTGTTAACATGAAATTTTACACCTGGTAGTACCTATTCCACTTTACTAGCAATTCAACTCCTACCACCTTAAACGTTTTCTGTCATTTATTGTAAACTAAACTAAAAGAATGGTGTATCTATTTAAATGTGAAGAACTTTTTCAATTTTCAAAACTAATTTCCAATAACTGTTCATCATTTGATCTTTCAATAATGGGGGAAAAAATGCTCAGTAAAATGTGTACAAAACTATTATTTTACAAAATCTTTTATGCTATCGTATAGAATCGAAAACAAAAAAATTTCATTCTATTTTGTTGTTTTTTTCATTACCAGCTTTATAAATTTTGCTTCAAAAAACAAAAAGAAACAAAAGGAATACAACCAAAAGTTAATCTTTTGTATGTAAGAGAAAAAAAAAGGTAGAATTTATAAAAATTGAAGAAACCAGTAAAAATAAAAAAAAAATATAAAAATGCCAAAGTTGATATATACGACAAGGAAATTTAATTCCATCTATAATAGCACCAACTGCAACAACAAAAACAACGACAGTAACATTACCATCGACAAGAAATGTAAAAGAATAATAAAAACAAAAAATTTAATTTCATACTCGTTCTTCAACATTCTTATATTATTTACAATTATTCTATCAGCATTTCATATTACCACTAGTCATGGTTTTAAAGCAACAGCATCAGTTGATTCATCATCAAATTCAATATTTAGTGGTCCTTTTAGTGGGAGTGATCAAGATTTTGGTAGTGGTATAACAAGTATTAATGATGAGAATAAAGATCAACCATTATTTGTACGACATAGACATCATCATGAATTACAGAGGCAACAGCAAAAACAACAATTACATCAACAATTAAAACAACAACAACAACAACATCAACAGCAAACTTCATCTGAAAATAATCATCAATTTTATTTATCACAAAATAAACAACAGAATAATGAAAATTTAACACCTACTAAACATCAAAATCAAAATAAATATCAACAAAAAACAGGAAAAATTCCTGCATCTGCAAAAGTGTCATCGATTTTAGAAAGAAACACTTTTTCACAAAATTTTAAAGAAAATCCAATAACAAAATCAAAGAATGAAAGTATTAAAATTAATTACCAATCTGAAACACAACCAGCAACATCAAATAATCCGGAATATGCAAAATCAACATCTAATAATAATAATAATAATCATCATTTACGTCATCATAATCGACGACATCAGACATCATGGGAGCATAGAGTATTTCCAGCTTTAAGACATCATCCAACACCACCACCATATTTAAATTTATCACCTGTTTCAAATAACGTCAATACAAATAGCTCATATTCACGTTGGCATTATGATAATTTAACACCTTCATACAATGGAAAACAATGGAAAACAAACACACATCAGAATTTTCATCATGATGCCAATTTAAATAATAATAACAATAATAATAATAATAATGGACATCTTTCAAATCAAATTGATCAAAAGAATAATGCTTTTAGCATCGGTTCGGGCATCAGTGGTACCGATATCGGTAATTTTATATCGAACGATAATAATAATAATAATAAAAAATCTCATTATACAATCGGTAATAATAATATGAACTCATATTCGAATAATAATAATCAAAATAAAAATAATCAATACGGTAGCAATATTGGTATATCGTCATTACCGTCGTCGTCGGTTCAAAATTATACGAAATCAGTTCCTTCTTATTACGGTAATACTAATAATAACGATAATAATAATAATAACAAGAATAATAATAACAAAAATCGTGAAGATCCTGGCGATAGTATTGGTGGTACAAAAATTTATGATTTACAAAATTATCATGATGATAGTAGCAGTATTATAACAACAAATCATGATACACATAACGATAAATCAAAAAAAACTTATCTTTTAAAAAGAAAACCAATAAAATCATCATGGTCTTCGTCATCATCATCATCAATGTTTCCTTCAATAAAATTGGATAAGGATTTTGACAGGTCATCAACAAAATATGATTTAGATAGAAATATTGAAAATGATGAACGATTTAAAATTGATGATTCAAGAGATTATCATACCGATAAAAGAGGTAATGTTATATTAAATTTAAAAAAATCAAAAAGTATGAAACATTATATAAAACCAATAATAGAGAATAATAATGATGATCAAAGGATAAGAAAAAATTTTAATTTAAAAAGTTCAACTATCGATAATTACAATAGTAAGAAGCCAAATGCGGCTAATATGATTTCAAATATTAAAAATAATAAAAATAATAATGATGATGATGAATATGAATATGATGATGACGATGATGATGATAATGATGACGATGATGATGAAGATGAAGGTAACGATGATGATGATGATGATGATGACGATATTAATGGAGATGATGTAGATGATGATAATGATGAAATTATTAATAAGGACAGGAATAATAGTAATCGTAATAATAATCATGATGATGATGATGATGATGACGATGATAAGAATAATGACAATGATGATATTATTGAAAATAAATTCAATCATAATCATTTGAATATTAATATTCGTCATAATAATAATAATAAAAAACAGAGAAAAATAATTAATAAAATAAAAGAGAAAATTTTGAATAACGAAGAGGATTATAGTTATCAAGATACCGATAGTTCTATAAGTAGTATTGATCTTAATAATGACGGTCCCGGTAACGATAATGATGACAATGATGATGATGACGATAATGATAGTATTGATGAAGATTCAAATGAAAGTAAATTAAATTGGATTGGAGATTCTAAGGGTAATGGTGGCTATAGGAAATTACCAAAAAGGAAGACATATCAATCGGTAAGTAATAGTTTTTTCTTATTTTAAATATATTCAAAAAATAATTATTAATAATTAACAATATAAATTTTAGTTTAAGAAAATTACTTAAACATTCTGTTCAAAACTTTTTAAAATAGAAGTTTTTTAAACCGTTTAAAAGGTTTTTCTCAACTCTATGTATATTATTTTTCGTAAGCTTTATTGAAAATTAACCCTGCGTTGCACAACAAATGGGAAATGAACAGTTAAAGATTAATGAAAACTCTTTGTAGTTTTTTCTTCTTTCCTTATTTCCTTGAATTTTTGCATTAAAAACAACAAATAATGGACTCTGAAATTTGTTAATATTGCTCAATTGAAGTTGAATGCCGGGCGAATTTATTTTAATACCGGACACAAACCTTGCACGCGACAAGATATTTTTTTATTGATTAAAAACCCAAGTAAAGTTAGCGTTTTTTTTTTTTTTGTAACCGTTAATTTTTTTTTTTGCAACCGAATTAAGTTATTTTTGAGCCATCCATGGCAATCCGATCCCGAAGATCACATGAATCCTTACTCAACCCAAGTGCAGGTCAGTGGTCTCTTTCTCTTGAGTCGCCTGGTAGCTTCCTTGACCATTATATGTTTCACTTCTGTATTGAAGATGCTGTTGTATTCTATTTACGTGCACGATGGAGTATCTACTTATTTCTTCCTCGACCGTGCAAATTTTGATATCTCCATGTATGGTGGAATTTCTTACGTGTTTTTCTTTACTATATTTCGCAGTACTCTATTCTGGATGACTTATTTGCACAACCCCCAAAGTGTTATATCGTATGTCCAAATTGGTTTAATAACCTGTTTGTATATTAATAATTTATTATGGATACTCATTAATTGTAATTGGCCATTATTTCATTCATAACATGATTTCATCTAATGATTTTTGTATTTTCTCCGTGCTTTCTTGGACGGCATTCCCATGGGCTAAGATTGCGGTATCATCTGCAAAAGTTACAGGTATAAACTATGGTTTCAGTTTCCAATTCTACCTAAATTTGATTAAAAAATCAGTACCTCTTGTTGTAATTAAAAATTTTTAAACAAGTTTTGACAGAAGAAGTACCTAGGTTAAAAGTCGAACTTTAAGTCAACAATGAAAATTGATTTTTGATTTAATTTTGTTTTTTTTTGGTCTACGACCGAATTATTTATGGTTTTATTAAAAATTGATCCGATTAGAATGAAAAATTCTTGGTAACAAGTCATGTGTGTGGTTATGATAATTATGGGTTGTTTTTTTTTATTTTGAATTCGTTTCAAATTTAAAGGATAATAGGACGTAACGATCTCGTTAGATAAAAATTTCGAAAATTTTTTTTTTTTCTTATTATTTATATTTTCCGTTTGGTTTTGATCTTATGATGGTTTAGAAGGTGTAGAAGTCATTTATTTGGTTTTGTTTTTTATTTTCCTTTTTTTTTAACTTTAAAAATAAATTAAATCAGATTTCAATTCTTATAGCCCTTCTTCAAATCTCAACGGGATCATTTAAGATACTACTCATAAATTCAATAATTTTGACAGGAAAAAAAAGGTGTTTTCAGAGAAAAACTCGACTACAGAAAAAAAAAAAAAAAATTTGATTGACATCACATCAGATTTTTGGGTTTGATGTTGTAGGTTCTAGTTTAATTCAAAATTTTTAGTAGTTTCAAATATCACGTATATTTGGCAGGTATCGTATACTTACATTTCCTAACCAATATAAGTATTCACTAATCATTAAAACAAAAATTTGATTGATTAAAATTTTGTTAGAAAAACAGTAAAAATATTCACCTGATTTTTTCAAATACGGGATTTATACTAATGCAGGCTACTCACAATAATTTGAACTTTTGGTTAAGCCTCCAGTTGAAAATGATTTTTGAGAATTCATGTTGAATTTGAATTAACCAAATCAATTTGAATGGAAGTTCTTCTAAATTTTTAAAATTTCTGATTAGTGCTTTTGAATTTTTACTTCTGAGACTACAATAAGTATCTCTTTTAACCCTACAGATTTCATTTCAAAATCATTTCAAAATCAGTCTGTACAATTTATTTCAATTTTCTCAACATTGAAATATTTATGTTTATAAAATTCGAAATTTTGTAATTACATTTTTAAATTACAAATTTTAAATATTTGTCAAATACTCAAATACCTACTTAATTTAGAAAAAAAAACAAGTCAGATTATTAGATACTAAAGTCAAATTATTTGGAGCCAAATACATTAGAATATTTTAAAAAATTTTAAATTATTCCAAAATTGGTGATTACATTATTATTTATAATGAAGAAAAAATTGTATATGAGATATTTTTGTTAGATAATTTTTATATAACTATAATTACAGGATACAGACCAGACATCCTTTTTCCTTAAAACCCAATTTTTCCCTTTTTTTTATAGTCTTACTTATTTAAATAAGTATTTAAGTGTGTACTTAAAATGTATATTATATATGTATGTATTTAATTTCTTCAGTACTTAAAATTTCCTTTTTTCAATGAGCTTGTCCTGGATTTCTAAGATTATAGATAACAATAGTTCATCTAATTAAAATAAAGAAAATAGAAGAAAAAAAATTATAATTCAACTCTATATAAATGTTCCCACAACATTAGAATACACAATATTAAATATTATGTTTTTATAGGACCCTCAATTTTGCTATATCAACACATACTTAATGCACACACACGTTTTATATTAAGTATATTTTGTAGAACCATGTTTATAAATGGAACACAGTATACCAATGGATATATACATTTTAAGTTAAAAAAAATCTGATAAGAACAGCACATAACCGACGGCAATGTGTATTGTCTAGTTTAGCGAAAATTTTGCTGAAGATTGTGAAAATTTCATTTAAACACTTCTTTAATTCCAAATCGTTTTTAAAGAAGTTAGTAAGCTTTTGCAGTAAAATTTCACTTAGTCATCCGAATTCCCTGAAAGGTTCACCTGTAAATTTCGTAACCAGACAAATCCTAAATATTAAACTACAAGAAATTTCGTCAAGTAGTTCCTTTAATATGAAGAAAATGTAAAATCGGCCCGTTCTCGAAGTATGATATACCCCAAGAGTTATAGTCATCTATGACATAGCAAAATAAGGTCACATATAAAAGTTCAGCGTTGAGAAGTTGAGGTAGACGCGTGCACACACAATCAGACAGAGCGACAGACGAATATCTCTCTAAAAGTGGTTTATTTGCGTTTTCTTATCATGGAAAAGTGCGTTTCGACCAAAAACTCAATATGCGAAATTTGGTGCCATCACATAACTTTCCTTATCGTATACAATGCGGTCGGTAAAAATATTAATATTTTGTGATCTACGGAATATTCAGTTTCAGAGAGGTTCACATCAGCTAAGTGAATTTGCTCTTGAGTAGGCAGTTAATTTTAAAGATGGTTCGCTGACAAAGGGTAAGGTAAAAATTTATAAAATAGGAAAATTCTTCTTATTGGGGGAATCTTCATAAAATTATCGAAATATAATGTCACATAGGGTTTTCTCACATTCAGGTTAAGTTGTTATTTGTTTTGTTTTCGAAATATAAGCAGTACGCAACAAAATTTAATTTAATAAAATTAATTTTTTAAAAACACCAACTAAAAATAAATAATAAAAATCGCGATTTTAACAAAAAAAAAAACTGAATAATGGTTCACTTAAAATTTAAATAAAAAAATTAATTTAAAAAACTTGAACACAAAGGATTTTATGTGGGCTAGAAACAAACGTATTTCATACCAATGCTAACAAAATGTTCAATTAAATAAAAAAATATACGTTATGCATTTGAAAATTATAAAACAATATGGAGAACAAAAGGAATATACGGTTAATTAGTTAAGCGTTTTCCCGTATTTTCTATTTTTACCATCATAAATAAGTTTTTATGCACTTTTCAATTCACTTTGATTTTTTTGTGTTAAATAAATAGTTACGTCTGACTAATTCCATTATTATTAATTGTAAGTTTTTTTCTTTTTCAAAATAACTAGATCAATATTTTGTAGTGTTAACGTTGTCGAATAATAATGAATGTTGAAAAATTGTATCGTTAGTTTTGCTAATCACGTAATTGAGAATTCATTTAAGTCATAATTTATTTTTAAGTGTAATATATTTTACGATTACGAAAAAAAATATTGTATAATTTTTTCTTTTAATGTCGTAAAATTATGTAACGTTGTATAACATCAAAAATTAGTATTTATATTTTAATTTTTTTCAGAAATTAGTGGTGCATTAAATCTTGAGCATATTTTTAAATAAAAGTTCTTGTTGAATAATAATTTCAATATTCAAATTTTTGTTAATACGATAAATATACTCCTACTTAAATCAAATCACATTGGTCTAAAACCCAAATGTAACAACAAATGTATAAATTACGATGTAATTATTGATCAGATTGAATTACAGTTATTTTTCAAGAATTCATATGTGAATTGAAGTTTAAGTTCAAGTTAACGGATTTCGAAATAAATTCAATTTGGTCCTATGTTAGGCGCCATTTTCTGAACTTACGTGTCAAATAAAATATACTCTTCCTATTTGACTCATTTTAATTAAAAGCTCTGGTATGGACAGTCAAATTCTAACGGTTTCAGTAGATTGCCGAAGTTCCGACCTAAGGTTAATCACATACTAAATTGTATGACATTTAGATTTTATTATAAGGCACACTCTGTTTATTAAAATTTAAAATGTGAACAAATTTTAGCATTATACTCATGTTACACATGAGTATATGTGTACTTAATATATATACCATAATCATTTTTAATTGAAAATAATCATTGTTTTCAGGAACATACTTCTTCCACATTTTATATTCATATATGGTAAATAATGGTTATTGATTTTAAAATACGTAAAGGTGTACTTGAGTACATGTCATTCTATTATATTCACATAAACCTGCATGATTTATGTTATTTTATTTTTATTAAACACTCAAGTATGTAAATGTTGTATAACAATATTATAT